ATGATATTCATTCTAATGAATCTAGAATATTCCAAGTATACATGAAATTAATGCATGGTAACAGAAGAATGTTCTGGAAGGTGTGTAAATGAGATGAAACTATGCGATTGTATAAATAGGGGGTGTGCTTGAATTTCGGGGCATTGTGTATTTTGACGAGTCGCGTATTAAAATATTGAAGTCGGGTTGTGCGAGCGTGACGACCAGTAGTTCTTAATAACGCGTATGTGTGCCATTTCCTTTTAAAATTTAATTTAGTGTGTGTGTGTGTGTGTGTATTATTTTGCGTGAACTATTATTATTTCCTAGACTACCAAACTCGACGACCAACGATCTTCCATTAATCTCCTCTGAATCGTATTTTACTAACAAACTAAATATTTTACGAAATACCTAGATCCATTACCATCAACGAAACACGCTGCTCGCGAAGGTCCGCTTCGGAAGACGATAACTGCTTGAAGCAAGGGGCCGGGATTAACGGGGAAGCAACACCCGAACCGGAGCTAATTTTCTTTCTTTCTCCATTAATTCCGGGGCTCACGCTTAGCAGACGGATCGGCGAGGAACCGGAGAAATTTATGCGGGTGATAATTCAACGTCTGCCCCTCGCCGCACGACAATGATAATAACGATGGGAATGATTTACTCGGATTATCCGTGGCTTCGAGCGCAGCTCCGCGCGCAGGCCAGCCTGGGGCCGCACGTGTTTCAGAATTAATGCTTCAAGACGGCCAAAACTATGTCTATCTTCGACACGTCTACATGGAACGTCCGCTCGACAAGCGGCTGAAATTATCCGCTTGCCGACCTACCGATCCGACGCGAGTTATTATTGAAATCTTCGGGCGATTCCGGTTAGTGCGTGCCCAACCACACCGGCGCGGCGGCCTTTAATTAAACAAATATTTACGCTCAGGAAACGTACGCGGCACCCACGTGCTACTCTCGGTTCCCTTCTGTCAGGATCTACGGGGAAGCTTCATCCTTCGTGGACGATTGAAGGAAGTCGCTCTAACACTAATCGCACCGGCACTTTTCCGTAATCAGTCAATTAACTGGTTGTAATATAAAGATGAAAAAGTTAGATGATTAATGTTTTGTAGCGAGAACAAAAACAAAAGGAAGGATGAACATTGAAAAACCAATTAACCCCTTGTCCTACAACTACGAGTGTGACCCGTGGTGAAGATTTTCAATATGATTCAACAAATATATGTATTACTCAGTTCATTCGAATTCAAAATAAATATTATTCCTCTGTAATCAACTATCATACTTAAAAGGAAATATAGGCGTAAAATATGCCTAGAATTTTTCTCTTTTTCCAATAAATTATTAATGACAAAGTAGCCGTATCGATCATAGTTGAGAAAGAAATCATAGGCAAAAGGGTTAATCGGATAGTATAGGAATTGATATAAAATTAAGTGAGCTAAAGGAAACGCAGAATTTTAGATCCGGTCGTTTGACCGATTTCCGATACGGTTAGTATTAAGATCTTGCCTTATGATACATAAGTGTGTAAGTTTATTTTTTCTTATTTACAGCTGTCCTTTACAATTTGTCCGCTTGGATATTTGGCAGATTTATGTATCGCGGTGAAGTTATCATGTGGGTTGTTATTTTTGTTATTTCTCGCTTGGAAGGTCTTTAAGGTGCTTGCTTTTTAGCCTCCTTCCGAGTATAGTTCTAAGTGTTCCCTTGATGAGAAGGTTACAGCGGTTCTGAATTGTGAGTAAGTGACGAAAATTTTGGATTAAATGTAACCATCAAAATATTTCTCTATTGTTTATTGTTAATCGTTGGAGGAGATGCAGAGATATAGGAGGAAGGAAGAATTTTTCTATCTTCCTAGTAAATCGTTGAAGATTGAACAGCGGAGTTGTGAAATAAATCGTAGGGCAAAGGTTGACGTTCATTGATAACTGAGAATCCCCTGGCAAGTACTAAGAGACGCTGGTACTTTGGGAATTGAATTTTCCATGAACTGATCGATTGAATTGATCATTGAATTTTCCGTGAATTGACGATTTCGGAGAGATTAGACCTTTTTACTTAAAAAGTAGATCATATATTATCTTCCGTAGGTAGAGTTTAATAAAAGAATTTTCCTTTGTTACTATCGACTCGAGTAAGGAAATCGGACGTAAGCCCTTGCAATATCGTGACGAACTCATACAAGTTTCTAATAGAATTTAACAAATATAAATATTCTTCAATCCATTCGAATGCAAATTACATACTATTCCTGTTACCAGTGATTATGCTTTAGAGCAGACGTTGACATAGAAAGACAGGAATTTTCTCTGATTTTCGATAAGTTATGAATAACAAAACAGTCAGATCGGTCTCAGCTTAGAAAGAAATCATAGGGCAAGGGGTTAATCTTAAACGAAGCGTTTTAAACGAATGCGTTCGCAGGAAAGACACGCTGTGATTGAAAATTCAACGGGGATCAACTGAGTGGCACAGATGAACCGGCAAGTATAAACGCGATTATTGTTAATCGGAAGTCCCAATCGCGAGCGGTGTTCACCGGGCGTTCATCAGACGAATTTACGTTCTCTGTTCAAAGCGAGTTCGTTGCCAGATCTAAAACCGTCTAACCGACAATGACGTAGAATCTGAGTAAATCGCTCCTGTTGTCCCTCATTTCGCATTAATGCGCCGCCCCGGCTAATCTTTCTTATTCCGCGTTGTAGCGCGTCGCTTTGTCGTGTCGACTTCATTTCGCATCAGAACCTCTCTTTGTCTTCGATCCTCGGACGCAGTTACCGCTAATGCGATGCGAAAGATCGAACAACGCAACGGTACGCCGCGTTTACGCGTGTTCCTCTGGTTCAGGTTTTCAATTGTTTCTGGGCAAATCGAGGAAAAAACGAAACTAAGTTAGACTCGATGAATCTTCTCGATTAATTCACGTTTCTGATAGAAGGAAATGATTTCTCGTTTCGTTACGTTTTAAGATTTATCGCGTGTGACAGTTTGATTTAACATTGAATCTTTTCAACGAAGAAATTGATTGATATTTCGAAATTTTCGAAATTTCAAGTTGAGATTGATAAGAATGGGATGAAATATATGCTTGAAGTAAGACGAGACGAATAGAGGAACGTTAAATGTTATAATGTTAGAGAGGAAACTACAAAGAATGATTTTATTTTGGCACAGATATTTCGGGAACAGTTCGAGCCTTGGCCTTTTAAAAAATTCGGTGTCTTCGATCAGTAACATCTGCCACCTCTTCGAATCTTCCTCCGTCATTTTCACGAAATCCCAAGAATCGAGTGATATATGACCATGTTTTTGAGGAGCATCTACACGAGTAGATGAAAGCTTCTTTCATCGTTCCCATGAAAGTCGAACAAAAAAATTCGCTTCATCGATAACAGTGTCCGGTTTACTTTAGTTACGACCAACACGTGCAGTTTATCGCAGCCATTTGCGCGACTAATGTAGTTTATTTTCATCCCATTATCAAGTTACGACAAAGATCCGACGCGTTTTGCCACTGGTCGCGTTGTTTTCGCATCGGAACCGTTGCACCCCAACGAATCGCGGGACGCAGAAAAATCAATCCGATGCTCGACGAGTAAACCGGTGTTCAGAATTAAGAAACCATAGGAAGGGAACTTCCGTTTCGAAGCACAATTTCAGCCACTGGCTTCTTCGCGCGCCGGCGTTCGATAATATTTTCGGTCCCTCTCCATTATGTAACGGCGAAAGAAATTCATCGAGCACCAATTCGAACGCACATAGAAACGCAAATTATTTTCGACTACGACTGATTTCATTTCTCGACGTTCCAACGTATTATCCGTCGACGGAACGTGAAATATTCCGATGAACACGACTAACGGAATATTCACCCTTTTGAACCCCTTTGGTAATCGATTACCGATACAGACGAAAACAGAACGAAGACTTTAAAACGTTTTTACCAGAGATCTCATTTCATTTTCAACTCTGCAGGCCCCTTAATGGAGACACTGTAATTTTATTTAATTTTCGTCCTTGTTCATTAGCCGAGAAAAAACGCGAGCTCCGATATAACTATCCGCAGTCCATTCATTGCGTTTTATTCCGCACTCTCCCGACTTTCTTCGCTAACGGTACTTAGTGACGCGTTTCCGATAATATTGCCTCGATTTTAACGCTTACAACAATAAAAAGATCGAACTTATGCGTGCTCCGTAGTCCTTCCTTCAAGAGAATAAACGAACAATATCCGCGAATTAAATGTCGATTACAGGCGTTTATCCCAACGATTCATTAACACTAACCCTTTACGTCTCGAATTACACTATCGTCCGAAAGAAAGAACGCATAAAACGAGCACAAATATGTTCATCACGATTATTAAATCATATAACGATTAAATGAAATCCAACGAAGAATCTCGTAAGAAACCGCAGTACTCCGAAAGGTAGAGGATTAAGAGGAAATCAAGAGGAACGAAGAGGAACAGTGGAATATTGTTTACAATCGCGTTTATTCACTGTTCGTGGAAACCGGGCATAACGCCCGGTCCGGTCCAGACCGAATACAGCGACGCGCCAAATAAAGTTGGTAAATCCCACCGAAGTCGGCGATCGAAATAAGTCCGCTTATCCTTGACTGAACATCAGAATGAACGCGAGAGAAATCTCGCGCCGCCGCCGAACAAAATTCTGTGTTTATTTCTGGCGAGCGCGAGCCGCGCGTACACCGGAACCTCTCGATAAATCGCGAAGAAATCGCCCATGCGTCTCTTTAATGCATCCGGACAAGCTAACAGCGATCGTAGCCGATAATATAAAGGACAACCAGACGACGGCCGCGGATAGAGAACCCGGACGACTAGAATCCTGAGACACACGGGCCAGTAATCGACATTTAAGAGGTCTGGACAGAGCGCGAGGCGTTTCTCACCAATAAAACGCCCACGTCGGGGCGCCAGGCGACAAGCCCTACAGTTACGGTAATCGCACGTGCCAATTAAACGTGTCGTCACTTACTTCTTGGATCTTATAGCTGGTCCGCACGGTCTTGCGTTTCGTGGTGGTGACCTCGTAAGTTTCCTCGACGGTGGGCGCCTCGTCATCCTCGTTGTTGTCGCCGGTGTTCTTGTTGTTGTTGCTGTGCACGAGGTCCTCGTCGCCCATCGCGTCGCTGTCGAGGACGTTTGTCGCGTCCATCCTCGCGTTCTCCGTGTCAGTTTCCAGGGTGAACGATCGAGCACCGGGTACGTAACCGTCCGAGGTAATAGGTAACCACGAGACAAGCCTAGGGGACGTTAGAACGGGTCGTGTGGGTACCGCAGCGGGTCTACGCACGCGAATCCTCGCGTTCTTTTGCACCAAGCGGATCCTCGCCGGAGTAGCGAACGGTCGCGAGTTGGTCGCGCGGAAAAACTTCGAACGAGCGACCGCCGAAACTATTCCGGGATTGACGAAGTTCTGCACGAAGCGGAGAGGCTGGCCGTACTAAAGCACCGCGGTTCGAGAAACCCACCGCGAACGTGTTCCCGCGCGCCTTTCAACGGCGAAAATAGATTCCCTCAAGTTTTCCCGATGGAACACACGCCGCGCGACGTCAGGACCCGGCGAGTTGTCGATCCCGTCGTTCGCCGCCGCGATAAATCTGCCACCGAGATTTTAGCTACCGTTCCGTGGATCGAAAGCTGTTGGTGGTGACGCGCCGGGTAATCGGACTGCTCGCTCGCGGGTGCGGTTGCGTCTGCGAGAAGACAAGGGACGCGTCGGGAATCCCCACAACTGACACTTCGAGACGCATCGATCACAGCAAGGGCGATTACGATGACTGTTCAGCCGGCGTTCATGGCTTCAGTCGTATTTCATTAACGGTACGTTTATCAGGAAAGGTGTCGTGGATTTGTTGAAATGGTAGAACTCGGATTGCCATTAATGGTAAAAGAGCCAGCTTCGTTCTCAGTGAAAGGAATTCTGTGAGTCATACGTAAATTTAATCGCGTGTTTTCGAGTGTATTTACAATCACAATAAACAATCCATTTCGTGATAAAATTAAATTGTTTGCGCATCGGATGATTAAGATCAAAGAACGGGAATGTACAGTGGTCGCTTTGAATTTTGTGCTCGCATCGCCATCTGATGACACGCGGATCAATTTAAATCGCAGTGACGAGTGGTTTCGAGAGTCCGCCGGATTGTTTTGTTTTCTCATGATCGCGATAACAGCGAGATTATTGTTCAGTCGTTTTATCACTATAAATATATTTTTAAAAATCACAGCAAAGTTAATAAGGCATTTTTAAACGCAAACACGTATGTCCTTGGTACATCTTGCTGCGCTTCTTTAGTAGACTTAACGTTTTAAATAAGCGTAACATGCCAACAATTTTATTGTAACACTAAGTTTTAAATAAACAAGGCTTGCCAACAATTTTTAACACTGGAATCACCAATTAATCCGTTACGAATGCATGGAAAAGCTCTTATTGTCCGTGTCAGCTGACATTTTATGAGTTCTCATAGTTCTTTAACCGCGCCAGGTCCTCGGGTCTAAAGACTCCAACTTCGGTGATAATGCCTTTGATCAGACTAGCTGGAGTTACGTCGAACGCTGGATTCCAACACTGAATTCCAGGTGCGGCGATTCGTTGGTTGTTTACGTGAGTCATTTCTCTGTCTGGCCTCTCTTCGATGACAATATGGTCGCCACTGGGAATACTGAAGTCTATGGAAGTCCGTGGAGCCGCTACATAGAAAGGAACATTGTGGTACTTAGCGACTATGGCGATCTGAAAATATCGGGAACAAATTCATTAGTATCGAAATGAATGTTTCATAAATGTTAATGATCATAATCATCATATATAATACCTGATAAGTTCCTATTTTATTGGCTGTATCCCCATTAGCGGCTACCCTATCCGCGCCAACTACAACGGCGGATATATTTCTGGATTTCATCAGCGCCGCAACCATATCGTCGCAAATCAAGGTAGCAGGAACTTTTTCATACACCAATTCGTACGCAGTCAACCTTGCTCCTTGATTGTATGGCCTAGTTTCAGTGCAATATGCGTGTTCTGTAAGTGTAATTGACACTATATAACTGGATTTTGCACCGTGATTAAGAACTAAGGACATGCAAACGTTACCAAGACTATTTTTCTTATGTAGAGATCTAATAACACCTAAAGCTGTGCCATAACCTGCTGTCGCAAGGCTGCCAGTATTACAATGCGTCAGAATCCTGACCGAATTATCCCCAGATGTATGCTTCAAAATTTCTTGTGCTCCGAAATCTCCAATAGCTTTATTGTCCTCGATATCCTTCTCCAGCATAGCTTCTATGGCCTTGAGAAACCTATGAGAACAAGAGTATCAGTAACATCAATCATAAATCAATCTGTAAGTTTCAAACCGAAATCTCATACCTTTCCTTCATTTCCGATTTTGTAACATTTTGATCTTTACTAAGCCTATTGGCCAACTGAATTAATTCATCCGCCGCAATCTTCATGTTAACTGCCGTTGGACGCGCCGATACCAAATAATTTAATTTACCCTCGACATCCTGTCGAAGACTCTTTTTGTCTACCGGATCTTCTTTCATTAGTTCACTGGCAAGACTTAAACAGCCTACGATAGCTATAGCCGGTGCACCTCGAACCTAGACAATCCCAGTTGAATAAGCCACAACTAATACAACTCATTCTGAAAGCATTAAGCGATTCTTTAGCAGTTTAGAGCAATTTAAATCAATTAACTCCTTCAATTAAGATTCTGTTCACGCGAATCACTTTAAATCACAATATCCTTCGCTGCAATTTATCTACTCTAAACTGTCACTTTGAGGCAATGATCTACATCTCAGTAAAAGGATCAATTCTCTCAAATTACAGAACATCATCTCAGTTAAACTTTACTTAAACCCCTCCCAAAAATAATTTACAACTGATAGGAAATAAAAGAATGACCTCAGCAATCGTACTTTCTTTGGAAAACGTACCTGCATCTTATTGATGACTTTCCAGCCATCCTCCACGCCTTTGACGGGGATGTATCGGGAGATAGCCGGCAACAGTATCTGATCAAGAATTTCCAGCTTGCCGTTTTCCCATTTGATCGCTTGCAGCGTCATTTTGTACCGTCAGTGTCGACTGCGTGACGTGTGCGGTAGCAATGCGAAGAGATACAGGCAGATTCGAGACGCGGCTAATAGAACCGCGGCTTGGTAGTTTCTGAATGAAACGGCAGCCCGTTCATTTGAAGCTCACGTGCACTTCATACGGCCGTGACTCGAAACCTATCGTAACGCCGTATCGCACCGATATCACGTGACGGACGTAGGCTGCGTGTAGCATGTATGAATTAGCTGTTCCCACCGCCATCTGACGGGTCTCGCGCGCACCATGGCTTCTTCGTACAACCGGAAATCCCGTTGCGCGAATCGTTCGAATATTTCGCGACACGCCGGACGGCGCGACAAAAAATCCCCGACCGGTTCGGAATTTTCATGAAATTTAGGGAATCCCTGATAATGAGCAACGGAGGCCTGGAATATTTTGGCTATTATCTACGAATTTTCCTTTAAGCATTCTGCGATATTAGAATGGAACTTCCGGCGGGCGCTTCTTTCGGCAACGATAACGGACCGAGTGACATCAATCTTCTGAATTTAACGGTTTAACACTAGAACTACCAAGCTTAAACTGATTTTTCTAAATTTCTTTGTAAAACTTATAACTGTGTATTTATTAACCCCTTGCTTTATGATTTATTTTTCAATTGTGATCGACGCAACAACTTT